CTCTGAATGTATTTCAGCTGTAATTAGGGGCTGTTTAACTTAACAGAAGGATGCGGAGTGGGAAAGATGTGACAAGTCAAACTTACATATCTAAGGTCTCCCACTTTTTGGGCCCTCTTGTTGCCGTCCCCAGGTTCCAGAGCTGAGAATGAGGACTTGCACAGGGACACTAATCGGTCACATCCCTTCTCTTTCGAAGCCTTCTTTGCACTCAGGGATATAATAGATGACAACAGGCACTTAGGACTCCACTTTGAGCCTATCACATGCAAGAACCTGGGACCAAGGAGCCCTGTTCTGTCTAAGCACACTGGAGGTGAAGGCTTTGCCATTCGTGGTCCCTTAATTCCTCATCTGTAAAAGAACACGGGGACTCAATAGCCAGAAATTCCCCCCTCTTTATTTATATACACTTTAAAGTAAATTTCCTATTTCTTATTCCATGAGCAAGAGAACAAAACAGGGACACTGGGTCAGGCTCTCTAACAGGGTATCTCCCTGTGTCCCTCCTGTGGGCTGGCCACACTGCCTGAGTCTCAGGCTCAATGTGTGCCGCGCATGTCAATATTCCCCAGGGTCTGCCCCCCTTGTCCTCCTTGTGGATTCCACCATTGCATGGGGTGGCTCCATTGTTGCACCTGTGTCCCCGCTACGTCCACTTTAAAATCCATGAAGCTGGGGACAGCACTTGGCCTGTCTGTAAGTCGTGGACTCTCACATGCCCGACCATTGTGGGAGTCCCAGACCCGTTGGCTTGAGACTCATGCTGGATTGTATGTGTGTATTCTCAAAATCCTTGGAGGAGAATGGAGGACAAGTCATTGCGGCCTGGCCATCTTTTTTGGGGGTAATATCTCACTTTCTCTCTGTGTTTCTCTCTTTAGTGAATTCACATGCTGTACAACAAGAATCTCACTAAAAAATAGAAAAATAACCTAAGCTGCCTCTTGATGATGTCATGTAGTTCATCTCCAAGGAGGGGAGTCCCTCTGTCTGCTTTCCTTCATTCTACTGCCTGGCAAGACCTCTGTCTCTCATGCAAAGGGAACACAGGAATGGGGCCCAGAGCTGAGTGATGGGGAAAGATCTCATTCCTCTAGAGCAGGAGCTGGCCTGGGCTATACTGGGAGGCAGCTCTGTCCACCATCTTTCCTCCATTTCCTGTGGGGCTTCTTCTTCTTTTCTGGAGCCGCCCCTGCCCTCACAGCCCACTGAGACCTTGTATGTAAATGAAAGAGCAGCCTCTGCATGGGGACTGCTCACCCGACTGTGAGTGTGAATACCCATGCACAGAGAGGCCCTGAACTTGGTCCAGGGACATCGAGGTAAGGGGCAAAGACAGGGTCTGGTCCCAGGAAGTGCAAAGCCAGAGCATGGCTATGTGCACAACTGTTACATCTCGTGTGTCCGCCAGGTCACTCTGTTTTTCTGTCTGTCTCATGTGCACACCTGTTACATCTCATGTGTCCACCAGGTCACTCTGTCTTTCTGTCTGTCTCACCTTCTGTCAAAGGCAGGTCCCTAGGCTCATCCCATAGCCCAGTGGTGGAAAGACCTGGACCCGAGTGCAGGGCAACTCCTGGCCCAGGTGGCTGGAAAACCAAGTCATGCCTGTGTGCGTGCCCACATAACAGAGTGATGGAGGACAGCATTTTGTCCTGCCCATACCCTGGTGGGGTTGCTTTCTGTCTTTGTCTCCGACAAGGGCCCTGTCCATGGCAATACATGATGTACATGCGTGTGTGCCAGACCTGCTCCTATGTAAGTGAGCATGTGTAAATAGAGCTGGGACATCAGTGTCCTCGTGACTTTCTCCTCGTCAGTCTCTTGCCCTCCTGCAGCAGGTTGGCTGCTCTGCTCCCCCTCCTTCTGCTGGGATAACTGCCCCCTGGTGGCAGCTACCCAAATTTGGGAAAAGCCGGACCTCCTGGCATATCCCAGAGCCCAGAGT